GTAGCGACAAAAACCTGCGGGGAACTCTGCAAAAAACGCATCTTCGCACGGGCAGCCCGTGCGTTAACCATTTTTTGAAAATGATCCAGCTGTTCAATGAGTAATTTTCCTTCCAAAAATTCAAGTGCTCGTACACGAGAACCACGCGTACATGGAGGGTGAATTTGAAAACTTTAAGTCTTATTTGGACGGAGAATATTTTCCTAAAATCTCAGCTTTCCAGTTCTTCTGGTTCCCAAGTTAGCCATTTTCTCGCCAAAAAATTTTACGGGGCCGTACATGAGAAGCACATAAGATTGGGGGCTGAATTTGAAATTTTTGACTCCGATATGGACGGGGAACATAATCTCAAAATTTCAACTTCTTAGCTTTTCTCGTTCCCGAGTTATCAATTTTCCCACCAAAACTTCCACTCTCTCGTACTCGGGGCCCAGACTTGCATAAGGATGGGTGCCGCATTCTGGGGTGGCACATGGCCGGGGTATCCTCTAGCAAAATTTTAGCGCCGGAGCTTGCTTGATTACCGAGTTGAAATACCCGGATAGACGAACACAAACATACACACACTCACACGCACACACACACATGCATATACACACATACACACACGGACAGGGCCGTTGCAATATGCGTTTTTGCAATTTGCGTATAGGCAAAAACGCGTAAAAAGGCAGCACTATTCGAATCCGGAGCCAGAAATGAACGCATACTAATTTCCCCTCAGCACGAAGTATCAGCAGAATCTCAGTTCTGATCACCATTTATCTTCACCTCTTCTCAGTTAACGCGATGCTTTACGGGTTTGTTAAATGGCAGCACTCATGCCAGCTACTGCATATTATTCTGGATCACATTTTCCGTTAGAGGTTTCCGTTTTACATGCTTTAGCGCAGCTCTTTGAGAATTGTTTGGTTTAGAATCGGAGCAGCCGGAGGAGAATCGGCCACGTCGTCCTCGTCGACAAGTCGAGCGTGTTGTATCTCCTGACAACACTTTGCGTGAGGTACGCCACCCAGGACATAACATTTTATTAACACGGTCACTTGGCACAAATAAAGCTAATTTTCTCAAAGCTTCCTCTTAGAAATCATGATAATTCGAAATAAACTTGTTCAGGAAACAAGACACTTTTGAATAACGCAGTAAGAAATTGATGGTACAATATTACGACAAATTATTTTTGAGCACATTTCCCGGCTTTTGAAGTTGAAAATTGTGCGTTATGTGAACGGGAACCGTGCGCTTTCATCATTTTCGAAAAGCTTCCTAGAGGCGCAGCACTAATTCGAAAACAGTTGCTCACACAACGAAGTACTTTTCAGCAGCGCAGTGAACAACTGACAGTACAATACTAGGACAAATCATTTTTGAGCGCTTTTTAAGTGAAAAGGTGGGCGGCGGATGATGCGTACTTTTATCTTAAATGTGCCACACAATCAGGTTTTGAGTAGTTGCGCGAGGAAGTTACCATTAAAAGATAGATCTTAAGAACGGCCTACTAGCAAGGGATGCTTTCGGCTCCCTAATTAAGAGCGAGCTTTGCCTGCGTGATTGTTGCTGTTGGCAAAGTGGTACCACTCGAACTAATTCCGAGTCATCTCCTATTATGAACTGGATTTTGACCCCTGAATCAAGTCCAAGAATTTTAACGTGAATGCCTTGGTACGATGGAGAAGCTTCGTCTGGTCCCTGCGGCATTTATATTGGTTTGTTGAGAGGGGTGTCGATCCACTGGCCACATTCCACTCTAATTTACAAGCCACAGAATTTTTCAGGTTGTCGGAGGGATGCCGAACATAGAGCTAACGCACTCTCAGGGAACTGAAACAATATATACTGATGAACAACTCATGTAGATGCTGTCGTTTGTGAACAAACACATTTTCATTTTGAAGTTGAAAAAACGTTTCAAAATAATAAACTTGAAAAATTCGCTTTTTAACAAAAAATACAGAAAAAGTGCTTTCTCCGCCTGTATTTGGCGTCTCTTTGCATTAGACTACTCTTTTTGCAAGCCTTGCTGCTTTTACAGATCTTTTGTTTCAAGAACATGCACCTGACTTGCTCGAAAAAAAGAGGCGAAGGAGTAAGCTTTTGCACCTGAATTGGCTAGGACTACTGCAAAAGTGTCAAACAGGACAGTCAGATCAGCTGGAAATGGCTAAATTAAGGGGGAAAAGTTAAAATGCCCCAGTAATGACAAATTTACTACGTCCAGTTGTCGCTCTGCTAAGAAATGTGTACGACTTTGTGAGTCGAAATATTCGTTTCCATTACTTAAAAAATATTTCTATTTTTTTTTTTTTTGACGTTTTTCCGCCTATGCCATAATATTTCCTTTAAGCTTTTTCAAACTGGTTTAAAATTAATTCAAGCGAAATGGAAGGCACCAAAATTAAAGTGACCAATGTATTCGCACTTTCTCACACAGCCAGGGGTTTCAAGAGCTGAAGGACAGTGCCCATTACAGACTTGGTTTCTGAAACAGAACTTGGCCTTCGAAACGCAATTTGCATCTCTGTGACTTACAACATCGCTTGCTTTCCGGCTTATTGCCTTGGCTGCGTCTTTCGCTTTTTGGTTCTTCTGAAATTCAGTTGCAGCAGCCGTTTGGTTAAATTTAGCCTCGTTCCACCCTTCCAAGCAAAGTGTTGCCACCCTCCTAGAAATACACTTTTCAGGTGCACTTTCGTTCCATTGCCACTCAATGCCAGCAGAAAGCGTTAGGAGTGCCGCGGACCCCATCTCTTCACTAGCTATCTCCCCTCCCGATGCCCTTCTGCATAATAGGATACAAGCAAACTAAAATCAGTAAAGCAATGATTAAGCTCAAAGAACATAAGGAAATGCTAGAAAGACACAAATATACAGCCAGAAGTATACACAATGAATTCTTTGGTCGTGTTTCGTAGAAATGCACTGTTACTCTAGACCAACTCTTCCTTGAATATTGACCAAAACGTGCAAGCAGCCGGCGTGACGTTGCGTTTTTTCCAAAGGCTAATGAGATGAATGATGGCTAACTCTGGGCAAGAGATGGTTGTGCTTTACCATGGATTTCAGTCCTATTCTGTACTTTTGAAATCAAAATTTTGGGATTTCATGTCCCAAAGTTGTAATGGCATCATAATCTTTGGAGATAGAATAGCTGGTCAGGGCAAACTGGAGTAGAAAACTAATTTCAGATAATCAAGTTCGTGCCATTCTCTAAACTAAAGTTTCAGACTCATAAAAGCTCAGTCCGTGCTTAAATTATAAACTCGGTTTGGAAAATTGCCAGAGATAATAGGTGAAGCAAAAATAAAAATTAGTGCTAATTTCAGATTGTTTACTCTTCATTAATTGATAAATTGAAAATCTCTAAAGTCCCATTAAGCATCTTTCCGTCAAGAAAATTTAACCTGAATTTGATCGCAAGCACCTACAGGAAAAAGGTTTGTAAGAAAGGGTAACGATCTGAACATGAGTTCATATTTCTGCACGGCTTCACGATATTTCCAAAGTTCCATTTTTTTAAACTTTTCTAGTTTTTGAGTTGATTTTTCTTGTCGAAAGACAAATGTTTACATGCGTAGAGATTAGAAAGACTGTTGGCAGTTTACCCAAAAACGTAAAAGGCTTCTTAGATGAGTGCATTACTTCAGTGTGGGACTGGCGCCCTCAAGATCACACAAGCAACTTTTTTGCCTAAATGCACACTCACAGTTTAATTAAGAATTAGCACCAGCAGTAGAAAAACCACTGGAAAAAGAGTGCTGGTTGAGCTTTGGTTAAGTGCCGGGTTCTGGTTTGGCCTGAAGTGTTCAACCTGCTTGAACATGAAATGCGCGACTTATTCGAAAAACGGAACGCGCTGAGGCAGTGTTGGACTGAAATGATGATCAAAGCGATGCGAGAGCTTTTTCGTACCAACCAATCGCGAACATGATCAAGAAACCGGCAAAGAATCCGGCGTTTTGGAGCAGCAGGACCACATACCATTTATCGGCTTTCGATGCTGCCTCCAACTTCAAGTGCACCAGCTAAAAAGCACCTCAAAGAACCTAGCAAATTTGCGAAAAACGGACGCTCGAGGAAAATCAGTTGCCACAGATTAAAGATTACTTGCCAGTTTCGAGATCTTGGAATGATAGCCGAAAAATTCTTGTATTAGCGTTACTGTCATTAATTTGTCCAAGGCAGTCTTGATTTTCCGAAAAAAACGTACCATATCGAGCCAGGCAACGTACAGGAACATTCCAGCTGTAACGGCCAGCATTATTTCCACAGCACTGTCGATAGTGATCGCTGCCAGGCCAACAAATAAACCGACATAAGCAGTTAAAGCGGATAAGAAGTTCAGAAACATCGCTCGCGGCACCGACAAGCCGGACTCAATGAGCACCGCAAAGTCTCCTTCAATTAGCAAGAGAAGAATTAAATTCAAAAAATGAAAAGAATAAAAATCGTCCGCCTTTTAACTTCTTCATATGGGACAGAAAATTAGTATCTGATCAGTGTTAGGTATTTTGCACGATAGCCACAAAAATTTCGCGAGGCTTTACGTGAAAAACACACACACCTGGCGGCTGAATTTGAAATTTTTAAGCTGTACTTGGGCTGGGAGTATAATCTCAAAATTTCAGCTTTCTAGCTTTTCTGGTTCCCAAGTTAGCGATTTTTCACTTGCTCGCGCGGGGCCTAGAGATGTATAAAAGTTGGTACCACAGCTCTGGGGTGCCATTTGGCAGAGGAACCCATTGGCAAAATTTTGGCGCCGAAGCTTGCTTGATTGCCGAGTTGAAATACCTGGACAGGCGCATACACAATACACACACACAAACATACACACTGCTCTCGTCACAATGCGTTTTTGCATTTACATATGTGCAAAAGCGCATAATTAGGGATGTATATGACTTAATGGACTGAAACATTCCTGTTTAAATTTTCCGCTCTGATTTCAGTCTCTTCCAAAATACTTTTCTATCTGCTAAGTTTTAGACATTCCTATTCAGCATTCAAAGCTGGCCCATGTGTCAAGACCACTCACATCTCACGGATGCTTTGAAACTAACTGATGCACATTTGGGTGCTCTGAACACTGCAACAGTTTACTCGGCATTTCAATGAAAGTAAGCAGACAATGTTAGCTAGTATGTTCATGATACACGACTGCATATGCGAGGCTTACCTAATTCATGCGGTAACTCGTGACATGCAACGGCCAAACTGGTCGCTAAGCCAACTTGTTTGGAAATGACGAAGCTCGCGCCCACAGCAACTCCATCGATGAAATTGTGGATTGCGTCACCGAAGATGATCACAAATGCGGCACTCTTCAGGCCACACATGACCACTGGCTCATCGGCCAGGCCTCCTTTGCGCACCTCATCACTTGCACTTCAAATCAACTTTTGAAACAGAAAACACATGATTTTAAATCTGGGTGGAAAAGCGATGCTTGATGAAAATTTATGCGAAGTATAAACCTAGTCGAAAGCGTCCGGCTGCCGGCACGAGGATGCGTTTTTTGCACAGCTCCCCAGCAGGTTTTTTTCGCCAGTGGCACGTTCTTTCCGGCTGATGCTTCTAGTTAAAAGAATTGGGACTGGCCACCACGAATGTCAGAAATTATTATAATGACTCCCAATCCATGCCCAAAAAATTCAGCGCTCTGGATGCTTCGGTTGCG